AACTTTAAGGTGTATCGTAACGATCGCCCAAATGGCCATGGTGGCGGTACTGCTGTATTGGTCAAAGGAACCCACAAACACACGCTTCTTCCCACGCCACTTCTTCGTGCTTGCGAAGCTACGGTAGTCCAACTGGAAACTTCAGATGGCCCTCTTGTCTTGGCTTCGATTTATGTCCCTAATAGGACATGTTTCGAAGACAAAATCCATCCTTTGAGATATTCGATTACAACCCTGAAGACTACTTGAATACAAAGTACCGTCACCTCAAAACAATTCTTCTGGACACATAATTCCCAGTCGACCCTAAGTTTCTCTCCAAACCATAGCATGCCTTAGGGCGCCCAGGGCTTCGTCCCTTTTCTCCTGATATGAATACCCGGATTATATAGCTGCCAAATCTTCTGGTTCGCTGAAATCCCAGGAGGTGGTTGTTTTAGTGGGTAACAGCTGTCTGAGTCCCACACAGTCACGAGAGTCTTCCCTCTCTTCGGGGATTAGCTCGTGCAGTCTTTAAAAGATTTTTTCCACCCCCGAAACAAAAAAAAATAGTAGTAGTAGTAGTAGTAGTATTTTAGACTCCATGCTGGGATACTATAAGATCGAAAAAATGGTATATACGTGTTTTTTAATTTTCTTGATATGACATGTAAAAACAGCTGAATACTGTGAAGAAAAAAACTCAAAAACAATGATATATATCTGCCACTTTCCGAGTTCAAAGGGGAAAATCTCAAAAATCTTGGAGGTCTAATGGCCTTTGACTAAAAGTGATTGTGATATGTGTATGGTGCTGCTGCATGGTGCGGAAACGTGGTCAATCAAAGATACCTTCGAAGCATTAGGGTTGCTATTAATCGCTAGATATTACCAACAATTTTATGATACATATATGGCTATAAATCAGTCGAAGCAGTGGTGTTGAGTGAATTACAAAGTTAAATTACATTATAGGGTGAGTTTGAAGCCGAAGTGAAGATAAATGGCACAGTTTCTACAGAAATTTTTGAAGCAACCAAAGGAGTACGACAAGGATGCATCCTGTCGTATGAATAGTATAAATTTGATATTTTAAGCTATTTGAAAATTGTTTACTCAGGTATTTCTTTTCTGCTTGTTTACAGAAATAATGTCATCCAGCCACCTCAACATCTAGGTCTCACACGCTTAATTTAGTTTAATTATTTTTATATTATTTGTAAGAACCGAAATAGTCAGCTACGAGTATGTCTATCTCTATGAGGGTGGATTGATAATTCAGTAAAAATAAATGAAACAGCAATACTAGTCCGCAAGTTATAACATATTTGGTCAGGTCATTGTTTTGATATTTGAATTAGTATTGTTTGTCTGTCGTGCATTCGCCGTTAAAATGGAAAAAAGTGAATTTCGAGTGTTGATAAAACATTACCTATTTACGCAAAAAACTATCATCATGGAAACGAAAAAATCTCTTGAATGTTTTATAGCGAATCTTCTCCTCCACTTAAGATGATTTCCAAGCGTTTTACTGAGTTGGAAAAAGAAACCGGAAGAAACTCACTCAAAATATTATTACGAAAAAGTTGCCTTAATGAAAAGGTGCAGAATATAAGAAGACGCTGTTTCGTGTATAAAAAAGTTACCTTAATGAAAAGGTGCAGAATATACGGAGAAGGCGCTGCTTCGTGTATAATAGGGGGTATCTGTGATACAAATATTAAAACCGGAGCAACAGTCGGAAATCACCCAATATCTGAATCATTATACGCAAGGTTTGGTGCATATTGAAATAGTGATTTGGACGGAAAAAGGTCAGCTGGAATTCAGATTAATATAGAGAAAAATCAGTGTTGTGGAATCCGAAAGATAAGGAATATTTAAAAAAACACGATGCACACTCAATTAATAAAACTTTGAAAGAATGTAAAACAAATTCTCTACTGGGAACGCATACAAGAAGGAGAAAAAAAGCGAAAGAGAGCTCTGGCACTGGAAGTGATATGTTTAATTATATTATTGAATTTGGTTAGTAAATTACAACGCTGTGCAACATAGACGGTAGAGAGGAACGCGTGGGAGGGGGATTACGCATTACGCATCGAAAGACGAAATCCACATATCAACAGCGGAAAAATTAGACTTTTTCTTTGTTTTTTTTTAGCATAACGTTGTTGAATGTTATTCCAACTTGTCCTTCAAGAGTCCAACTCCCAGAGTCAACCAGTTTGAATGAAACCTAGGTGGGTTTTTACACCGTTTCATCACTGTAGATGAAGCAAGGATTAATTTTTATATACCAGATACAGAACAACAATCTAAGCAGTGGGTAGAAACTAGGGATGTTCGATTTAAATCGATTCCCCAGAAAATCGATCTTTTGACATGCAATTCCCGATTTTTTTAATCAATTAATCCAAAACTCAGTTTTTATAGAATCGATTCTTTTGTTTTGTCATGCAACCCGAATGGTATCTTCAATTTCAGAAGATATCATTAATTACGTAATAAAACGAAATTAATCTACACTCAATCCGCTGTGGTTTCATGTCAATCGAAAACACCTTTGTTACATTTATTTTGGACGTTGGATGGAATACAATTTTGGAACGACTATAAGAAAATTTCACCTCGTTTGTCAGCAGTAGCGGAACAATTTTTGAGTTGTGTAGGGACATCGGTACCACCAGCACGCCTATTTTCGAAAGTCAGTTTGGTACTGACAAACTCATAACCACCTCTAGGATCACGGTTATCGAAACTGTTGTTTTTACAATCAGTGGAAAAAAAACTGGATTTAGTTAATACACTTTGTTTTGTTTTATGATTTCTAAGTTTTAATAAGGTTTTATTTTATCATTTTAATGTCAGTTTACTGTTTAATTGTTTAGAATTTTAATTTGTTTTGTTTTTAGGTTGAGTTTTGAATTTTTACGTTGCATTGTTACCTACAGTCATTTTGCTTGTTGTATTATTCAGAACTATACTTTATTTTGTTTTATGTCTTGTATTCTTGTGTGAAAAAAAGTAAAAAAATTAGAAATATATGTATATTTTTAACCCTAGAGTAGTCGCGCCACGGTCTATGAGACCGGGTGGCGCGAAATAGTAAATATTTTTGACCGTAGATGGCTGCCGCATCTATGCTTACGCAAGTCTGCTTGACTTGGGACAAATATTCGTTAGTATCATTCGCGTTGTTATACGAATGGGATCTTGGCCAAGGGAACGTAACACGGTCTCACACCAGGGCGATTAAACTTATACACGGTCTGTGATTCCAGGGCGACTATCGGTGGAGATTTTTATTAAAACTGAGGGTAAGTATTTTGCTATTACAGGCAAAAAAATACATATGTGCTATGTATTAAATAAAAATTAAGTACCTAAATATAGTTTAACTTTGAAAAATTGTAATAGAAAATATTTAAAACTTATATCATATTGCGTAATTATACAATACTCTGGGTAAAACAAAAAGTATTATGTTTAGTCTTATTCATTTTAGACATGGATTCTTATGAAAAACAGCAGGAAAGGTTGCAAAAATTAATGCTAGAAGTATTGGATGAGCAACCTTTACTAGAAAATTACCAAGACCCAGATCTTCCCGAGGATGAATCCGATCAATGGGAGATTATGAGATAAGCGAAGAACACCACATTGACATTGAACAGGATGTGAGGGATTCTAAATACAGTTGGCATAAATTCGCAAATAATTTATACGGGTAATGATCCACAGAAGAGAACACCGAGGAGAGCGTTTTAAAAAGCGTTAGCAAACGAGCTAATTTACCCGCATTTGAAAGTTTGTGCCATGATTCTATCCTTACCCTACAGTATTCGATACAGATTGCGAGAATTGTGTAATAGTGAGACTAATATGTGGAAGAGCCTTTACAATCGAGACTTCCCGGTCGTTGTGCATATTGTAACTGGAAGAAAAACAGAAAAATCATATTTTCTTGCTTTCAGTGCAGTAAGTACATGTGCTTAGAGCATATTACTGACATCTGCCAATTATGCCAGGAAAAGGTTTTGCCTGCCTAAATTTAATTAATTTTGTTCGTTTTTGAATTAAACAAAGTCTAATTGAGATGAATTTATGTTAATTTTTAAATATTTTTACTTAGTTTCTTGTTATAAGTGTTTTTTATTTAATGTAAAAAACTTTTTTATTGTTTAGACGCCTTTTTTACCTAAAAATACTTTTTTTTTTAAATAAATAGAGATTATGATTTCTCGTACGTTAATTTCCCTTATTCACAACAAATCAAACATTTGGAATTGTTTATATTGTCAAAATGGCTGCCCGGTCTCCCAGACCAGCGCGACTTACCAATATAGTAAAATAAGCGCGACTACTCTAGGGTTAATTTATTGCGAAAACGGAAAATTGAGTCAAAAATTGCATTATAAAAACTGATAATACCCCTCACTAAGATCGATTTTTAGCTTCGGATGTTTCTTGTATCGATTCGAGATTATTCGATCTAGATCGATCCAAAAAATTGATTCTTTTACAGAATCGCACATCCCTAGTAGAAACCCACAAAGAATCAGCGAGCAAAGTTACGGCTACGGTTTTCTGGGACGTACAAAGTACAGTCTTAATTGATTTCCTCCAAAAAGAGGAGACAATAAATGAAGAGCAGTATGCTACACTAAGAAATCAAAGAAAAACGGCCTCATCTTGCCAAGAAGAAAGCCCTGTTCCAGCATGACAATGTTCCTGCCCAGATTTCTTCTTCTATTCAAATTTTAAAAAAATAACTTGGGGGACGAAGATTTGGATAGTATCGCCGAAAGTAAGGCATATTTTGAGAACCTTGAAAGAGATTACAAAGAGAGGATCAAATAATTCCAGCAAGGTCTAACCAAATGTATAGGTCTAAAAGGAGATTATAATGAAAAAAAAATTACATCTATTCGAAAAAAATAATTATTTGTTTAATTTTTAACGCACTTATCAATCCACCCTCGTTTAACGTTTTGTTAAACTAATTCTGTAATTTATACCTCCGTAAGCAACGGTTTGTACAACCGTGGTGATTAATTCTTGGGATGATAAATAATCGGCTAATTTCGCATTCCTTCTATATCCGAACGAGTATCTATCCAAACTCATAGCATTCTCCCATTTTTTAGTTTGAAGTCCATCTAAAAAGATTGTTTAATTAAAAAATATCTTTCAACAAAATATTAAGTGTCAAAAATTTAGTAAATGGGAAAACAATTCAAAAAGATAGAAGAAAACCGATTAAATTAAAAACCGAAATATTTGATTTGTTTTTATTAAATTTAATAATAATGATAACACTATCACTACTCAGATAAAGAAATCAAAATGACACAGTAAATAATAATCTATCAGTATTTTACGTCAGTACTACGTCAGATATGTTATTCGAACAAGTATTACCTGGTAAATAACGGTCATTACAAGTATAATATCCACCGTGCTTGCAAGTTATACTTTGACCCCACCTATCATTAGTAACTACAAAATCTTTCACAGGACTCTCATTATACAACCATGCGATGAATCCGGTGGCATTCCAGTATGTATCTGGTGATTCCCAAGCGCCATCCGACCAAATGATGGCGGGTTGATAGTTGTTCACCTAAGTTTTAAATTTAAATTTCTATTAAATAAGCCTCTCAGTCAGATTTTACTAACCAGCTCATATAACTCAGGCATTGATTTCTTCTCAGGGAATTCTGTCGTAATAAAATTGTTGCTCTTTTCTGATTGGTAGAGAGGGTGATACCATTCTAGTAAAGAATGGTATAGACCATATGTAAGATTTGCTGCCCTTACGGCTTCTCCCAATTCCCCTGTAATAGTATTTGTTGTAACATATTATTTAGCGATAATAATTAACATTAATATGTACCAACTATATCCCTATGTGGTCCAAGATCCTTAGAATTCCAACTGTACGAATATGATGACGGCCACATAGTGAAACCCTCATGGTGCTTACTTGTCAGCACTACGTATCTAAAAATGATTATTTTTATTGCTCTTAAGTATATAGCTCTTATATAATCTAAGTATTATCTGCAGGAGGGCCTATTTCTCGTCAAAAAAACATTAGTATTTTCATATAAAAACGCTTTTAGATGTATGAAAACTTAATAAGAGTAACTTTAACTATTAACTTAATTAAATATAACTACTTAATTAACTTTAACTAGGTTTCGGCCAGTTAGGTTAGTTCAATAGTTTTTGTTGTTTCATAAGGAACAATGTTTCACAGGGAACCAACCACAGTACCTACTATTTACTAACAAAAAAAAATATTGAGGGAAGCAACGAAACTGAATCTCTCAACTAATGAAGGTCAGACGAAATGAGACCAACCAAATAAAAAAAATATACTGGAACTTTTTGCCTTTAACAGGCCATTTTTAAGGATAACACTAATGTCCTTATGGAGAATTGCAGAAATATTGGTATGGAAAGAATTATATGGTCCATATTGTAGTTTCTCCCAATTCCCTTGTAATAGTATTTGTTGTATCATAAACATGAGCCAATCACTTTTAAACTTAAAGAAACTAGTTGGCTTAATATGGCCCAAAGTCAAGAACTGCATGGACGTTATCTATTTCATATCATTTTGACAAAGACTCCACCAGTGTAATTTTGAATACGGAACACCTTTTTAAACCATGGCTTTTAAACCCTACTACAAAAGAACAAAATAGGTCTTTTGGAAAACTTGCTACATGGTAAAATTGGTATTTAATTGTCTAGGGACTAAAAAGATTTTATTTGATGGTGAAAGGAATTCGATTAAACGGGAAATAATAGAATTATGTAATTTTCAATGTAATGAAGGGTTACACGTCGGGACAAAACTTACCAAAAAACATATCAATTTTAATGATAACAGGATAAATGTGAGGTTGGCAACTGAACGCTGAATCAGAGGGTATATAATGCTCTAACACAGTGATTCCCAAAGTGGTCCAGGTGGACCCCCAGGGGTCCACGGGAGACTTGCTGGGGGTCTACGTAGGCGTGAACAAAAAATGGGGGTCCATAAGATGTTAATGGGGGTCCACGAAAATTTATCTGCTTTTGATAGTAAAGAGCAAAAATGTAAGCATAGTTTTTATAAGGGCCTACCTACATTTTTTTAAGTACCTATCTAAGCAGATAATATTTTAATAAGGCAAGCGACTGTTACTTGTCCAAACTTGCGTATTCGATATTACGTACAATTTCGTGTACAGACTTGCAAAGCGCTATCCGCCCGACAATGCTTAATGCTTGTTCAGACATGAACTTGATCACCACTATAAATACTTGATGCCAAAGGCAAACGCATTCATTTGTTTCCGGAATTTCGAAAAAGGCGGAATTTGGAAAAAAAGTTGTGAGAAAATTTATATCTGTGTTTGCTAGTGCCGGAGAAAAGTAAGTAACCTACCTTTTTTTGTTATAGTACTTAAGTATTTTGTTTACGTGTACTAGTCGGTTGATCACAACGGCCTGTATAGATAGGTAACTTAGTAACTTACAGATATTTTAATTGTCCTCTTTCGATTTGAAGACAAACACAGCACGTTTTATTCAATTGTTTTTTCACGAGAGAAACACTGCCTCTCTAAAAGGCCGAATAAGCAATATTGCAGAGCAATTAATTTTGTAATTTTTCTTGCAAATAACTACTAATTTTATAAAACAGTAATTTCATAATCATTTTAAATTGGTTTTGAAGTAACTATTTTATCAAAACTATTCCTTTTCGGAAAGAGCGAGCGGTGCGCGGGCGACGGGAAAAGGGCGGGGCTTGGACTTCGATGCCAGTTTGTCACGTTTTAACAATGAAGCCGCAGACAAAAAATACGCAAATACACGGAGCGCGTGAACTCATTGATTTAATAAAATGTTAGTTATCGTTTTTATGGACAATTTTGGGATTTCGACTTTTATTTTTTCCTACACAAATATGATCAGTATTCGATACTGAGTACACCAATTTTATTTATACTATTAAAAATTAGTGGTAAATTATGTACTTTAAAATTGATACCGTTTTGTGAAAACGTCTGTATTTGTCTCAGCGGTTTATTAGTTGGTCCCTTTACAAGCCGTAATTCTATTTCCGCGTGCTGACAAAGGCTGCGGTGTGATACCTATATTCAGAAAAAAACTTGGTTACTAAAACATTTTTTTACAGGTAAGGTAACTGACACGAAACATGGCTACAGCAAAGAAAAAATGTCGACAATATAGTATCGATTATTTGAAATATGGTTTTGTTCCATCAGAGGCAGACAAACAATTGCCCATGTGCCTATTATGCAACAAAGTTTTGAGCAATGACTCTATGAAACCATCAAAGCTCGAAGATCATCTAAAAAGGTGTCATACTGATAAAATAGGTAAAGATTTAAAATATTTTCAAACATTGAAAGAAAAATATGGAAAGAGACCCACCATGCACAGTATGTTCGCTTCAACATCTCAAAGTAACGATGATGGCTTGCGGGCATCTTACAATATCTCATTACTTATAGCAAAATCTGGAAAACCGCACACTATCGGAGAACAATTAATTTTACCCGCTGTTGAAGAGGTTTTAAAAACTGTTTTGCACAAATCTCCATTTGACGTACTAAAAAGAATTCCATTAAGTAACAATACTGTACAAAGACGCATTGATGAAATGAGCTCTGATATCGAAAGCTTTTTGTGCAATCATCTGCAAAAAACTCATTTTTCTATACAACTGGACGAGTCAACGTTACCCAGTAATGAAGCATTACTATTGGCATATGTCCGATTTATTGTTGAGGAAGAAATTCACGAAGAATTGCTATTTGCCAGAACTTTGGAGACTGACACTAAAGGCGAATCAATATTTAATGTCCTGAGTAATTTTTTTACGGAAAAATCGATCCCATTTACAAACATTATTTCAGTGGCAACAGACGGAGCTCCTGCAATGGTCGGGCGATATCGTGGGTTTATAAGTCATCTCAAAAGAATTATACCAGGACTTACAGCTATTCATTGCGTAATCCACCGACAACATCTTGTGGCAAAACATTTAAGTGACAGGTTGAACCAATCTCTTCATTTTGTAATAAAAGCTGTCAACAAAATCAGAAGCAATGCATTGAATACGCGTTTATTTGCTCAATTGTGCGACGAAAATGATGAAGACTTCCAACGACTGCTCTTACATACTGAAGTACGCTGGTTGTCGAAAGGTGCATGCTTAACGAGATTTTACTCTGTTTTCGATTCCATATTAGAGTTCTTAGAAAGTAGAGATCCAGATTTAAAAGAAAACTTGATCAAATTCAAAGCAGACATTGCGTATTTGACAGATTTGTTTAAAAAATTTAATGATATTAACTTGCAGTTACAAGGGGACAGCCTGAATTTAATAAAAACAAAGGGGATAATTTCGGCTTTTCTTGGGAAATTGAAATTTATGAAGCAAAACATTAGTCGGCGCGAATTCTCTCAATTTCCAAACTTGTCGCAGGTAGAATGTATTGATGAGGATATCCATACCTACAGTCAACATTTAAGTGCTCTGCATGATGACTTCAAAACCAGGTTTGAAGATATACTGACGATGGATATACCACCATGGATCATAAATCCATTTGATGAAACGGAAGTGGCCAATGTTGTATTACAAGAGGAGCTGCTCGAGCTAAGCACTAATGAGGAGCTGAAGGTGAAATTTAGAAAAGGCTACCCAACATTTTGGCTGCAAGCAGAAATACCCGAAAAATATCCTGGACTGTGGGAAATCGCAAGGAAATTTTTAATAGCTTTTCCCTCGTCATACCTTGTCGAAAGGAGTTTTAGTGCCGTTAAAACCTCTTAACAAAAAAAAAAGGAGCAAATTAAACATCACAGAGCGGGGGATTTGCGGTTATTGCTCACAAAAATAAAGCCAAACATTGATCGTTTGCTGACACTCCATCAGATACATCCTTCCCATTAATTAAAATTATGACCTGAACCTATATTACCTTAATATTTTTTCTTGTAATTCTATTCTTTTAATAAATAAAGTGATATAAAATGTACCATTTTTCGTTTTTATTTTACATATCGGAATATAGGGACAGAACTCAGAAGTGACACAATTTTTATTTTTTGGCGACTTTAAGAATGTGGTAGAAATGTAGCAGCAGGGGGTCCACCGAAACCAGTAAAATTTTGAAAGTGGTCCACGAGAAAAATAAGTTTGGGAACTACTGCTCTAACATTTGTCAATAATATAAAATGTCATAAATTTCATCAAATTTTATTAACGGTAAAATTTTGTTTCATCTTTAATAATATTTTTCATATGTTAAATTGCAGTTATAGGAATATTAATATTCCTTTTAAGAAAGAAAAAATATTTGTTACAAAAGACCATGGAATTTTAAAATTATATTTCTGGTTTAAAATATTCAAATGGTCTATCCATTTTAAGATCCGGTAGAAGAACTGGATTTTTAGGATTAATTATGTTTAAAAATTATATTTAATTTATACAAAAAATTAAAGGATGGGGGACAAAAATACCTACTAATATATAAATTGAGTCAAGATTACTTGAAACTTTTTTTAGCTGCATAAGGGCGAGAGGAGGGTTTAAAAATAATCCAAATGCTAAACAATTTGAGAGCGCTTATAAAAGATTATTAATTTTTAAAATTAGAAAATTTCATGGAACTTTCTGTTGTATAATATAATAATAATATCTCCCGTATATAGCGTTTAACGCCTTGGGAGTAGCAAGGTACATCTTGCCATGCTGCGCCGTTCGGTATACAAGGGAGACAATGTGGCTAGCACTACGCTTCAACCGCCTATTATTACCTCAGGATTGTGAATCTCAAGTAATCATTTAAGGCTGAGTCGACCTAGGTACCCAAACTATTTTTATTTTATTAAAAGTAGTTGGTTGATGCCGACTGTAGGATTCGAACCCACAACCCTTAGATGGGTAGACGAGAGCTGTACCTCTACGCCACCGAGCACTTTTCTGTTGTATATTCTTGATTGGGATTTTAGGTTCTGTTTGTTTTTATTAGCTTAAGCCATAGATCTTCAGCAAAAAAAGACATCGATTAAAACAGACGTTTCGGCCAAGAGCCTTCTTCAATGTTAAAACATTACAACATTTTGTCACTCTGTACTTTGCAAGGAAACTCCATAATAACATTCTTTCCAATTTACAAAAACATAGCGCCAGGTGTCCTGCCCTTTGCCACTTAAGGGATTTGATTCTGTGGATGGCACCTATTACCTGGGTGCTTTGTCGTGTCCATTCTCTTCTTTTACAGTCTTTCTTGGTTATTCTCAGCATATTTCGTTCCAATGAGCATTGTACGAACTGCAGTTTCCTTATTCGAATGTCGAATTTGGTCGAATGTTTTCTTCATTACATAAAGTGGCATTCTAAATTTGAATATGATTGAGTTTCTTCCATAAGTACTCCATGCCAACTTAATTCTTCTGTTGATTTCTGGTAGTAGAGATCCCGAGCTGTGAGTTAGTTGTCCCAAATATACGTATTTTTTATTGTATTTCTAGATATATGCTATATTCATTATAATTTTTAATTTTACGTATATATAATACTGTAATACGTATATGCATTCTTCCAATTTTTAATTCCATAATTCCAATTTTTGCATTGTCAAACCATTCTGGTAGTGGCCTGCTATCTAAACTGTTCCAGGATGCTTCATATTTCTCACCAAAAACTGCTTCGGCACAAATAAGAAGAACAGTAGAATACCAAAGAAGCTTCACTTGTTCTATATTGGTAAATTTTAAACTGTCCGGTTATATGAATAAAAAGATCAACGTATAGAATAATACATCTGAATAGTATTTCAAAACTAATATAAAACAATTTCCAATCTTTCTTTATTTAATGCGTATATGCATTATATTAAAAAATGTCTATACTGTTAGAGATATATAACAACCGATCTTCATAACAACAGTTGATTGTTTATTCCAGGTGATAATTATATTGACGTTTTTGTAATAAAGTTGTCAGAAGTTAAACTATTTAATTAAATTTATTTCCAAAGGAATTCTGTAAAGGAGATAACAATACTTCTATGGCAGATTCATCTCTTCAGAAAAGTCCTATGGGTATTTCGCCGCTGTAAGAAAATCTACAAAATAAAATAGTAATTTTTTGTATACACTGTTGTGTTAATCTAATGGAGACAAATTGTCAGCAGAGGTTTTAACCTAATCAATAAACAAATTTGCTTGACAAAAAATGCTTAACATTTTGTAGGTCTCTACCCGTCGTCGAAAGCAAAAAATACAAAGAACCAAGAAAAAACTATTTAAAATATCTAAATGCAGCTATTCGAGAACACTTTAGTTTTTTTTAACAGATACTTCGTTCTGTTAAAATGACATTATATCAATTTAAACTTCAAAATTAACAATTACTTAATAAGGTAAAACCAAAATGCCTCAAACTTTTTGTATGATTATTTTTTAATTTGTTTTTAATTTTTACGTATGTCGTGTGTATTTAGAATTGTTGATATGTTATGTTTGTTTAGATTATGTTTATTGATGATGTTCTTTAAAATCAAACAAGCGATCAATATACATTACTAACATCTACAGATGTATGAGCAATACATTTATTGTTATTAGATTCTATTAAAAACTAAAGTGTTCTAGAAAAGTTGTATTTAGATATTTTAAATAGTTTTTTCTTCGTTATTGGCATTTTTTTTGTTTCCGATGACGGGAAGAGATATACTTCTAGAAACTTTAAGCATTTTTTGGTCCCGTTAGGCAAATTTGTCCATAGTATAAATATAATACCCATGGACCCCAGGACTTTTTTGATTATATGATGCATTATATTATGTAGTACCTTTTTATACTACAAATAAATGATTTACTATTAACATTATATGATGTTTATAAACAACAACGATGTGCTAAAAGATTGCTTTGATTCAAAAAAGCATTATAGAGTTATTGTGACTTACAGAAACTGTGTAAATAAAAAAAAGTATTGCTATAAAAGAAAACTACATTAATATCTTACCTTGCTCCTGAATTAGCAAAGAGTTCAGCCCATTCCGTTGCATTAAAAAATTCTGCCGTAAAATCTTTAGCAAATTCCTGATACGAAAAATACGGGGGGAAATTATTTTTTAAATACTCGGTAACTTCCCCTATAAATAAATAAACAAATAAAATCTATAGTTACTATATATAATAATCTGCCTATTACCGCCGTCATTCCAAAATGTCCAAAACCATTCAGTACCCATACTTGGCACAGAGAACACGCCCCAGTGGATAAAAATTCCAATTTTTGCATTGTCAAACCATTCTGGTAGTGGCCTGCTATCTAAACTGTCCCAGGATGCTTCATATTTCTCACCAAAAACTGCTTCGGCACAAATAAGAAGAATAGTGGAATACCAAAGAAGCTTCATTTGTTCTATATTGGTAAATTTTAAACTGTCCGGTAATATGAATAAAAAGATCAACGTATAGAATAATACATCTGAATAGTATTTCAAAACTAATATAAAACAATTTCCAATCTTTCTTTATTTGCTGTCAGGTATGAGTACCTCTTAAAACTTAAGTTTGTTTTTAGTGCTATCTATTAATTGACATAAGTTTTTATTAAAAAAATATATAATCTACTGAATACTTTAAATGTTTTCAATTGTTTAAACTCTATTAATAAAATAAAAACTGCCGTCTTTTTTTAATCATCATATATCCCACCAATGCTCTCACACATTGCGGCCGTTTGATGTTGAGGTTTTAGGACCCTTTAGGGTGAAATTAAAAATAGCGCCAAATTATTGTGTTATAAACCTACATTGAATATAGTTATAAGTATATCGTTATAAGAATGGTTAGTGAACGATCGGCGGTGCTAGCAGAAACGAACTTTAAGTCAAAGAAAATTTTTCAATTGAATTCGTTTCTTTTACTTTTAAAGTTTTTAAAAAATAATAATATAACATCGTTCATATATTAAGGATAGTTTCTTTTTTAATAATTTTTAAATGTTTCACATACAATTTTCGTTTTTGACTATAATATATTCACATACACGTTGTATCGTTTTTGTAAGTTAGTTTCCACATGTATTCCTAATGTAATTTTCACTGCTACAGTTGAAAAATGAAGATTCTTTTGATTGTTAAGCAATGTTGTAAACTTCACCATAATCCCACATTGAAGAGTCCAAAAGAAGAGAACAACTGAATTCTCGAAAGCTTGACTAAACAATAAAGGGTTTTACTTGAACTAACGGCCTTCTTATTAGACTGCATCCTCAAGATATCTTGTATTCTTTCCAACTAGTCAGTCGCGTAGAATACCCATCTCGTTATAAGTATATGTATATTATTGTAAACATATATTTAATATAGTCTATATAAAATATTAATTTTGCCAACCCAACTAAAGAGTCTAAGCTATTAAAAAAATGTCTAACAGCATTATTCATGCCAGAGTGGTGGGTCGACATAAACAGTACATTATTTTTATTAAAATAAATATATAAATTAATTATGATATTTTATTTATTTCGCAGCTATATTTATTTGGTGTCGAATATACCTGTCAGATAAAAACGGAACTTGGGGCTGGTGTCGAAAATTGCCATTAAATTTTAGTCGCTACCTGCTTAGTGTCGAAATTTCCTCCGCCCCTATTTTATGACCCAAAATCCATCTACGTTTAAGCGCGATTCTCACTATAATGCACTGCCACCGTCACGTCGAGCCATTGGCATGCCGGTAAATATTCTTAAATGACCAACAATGAACATATTCACATTATCCTTAAAGGGCCCCACAGACTTCGTTCTTTTTTGTCATTTCTAATCGCCGCGATTAACAACGACGATTAAAAATTATGTCTGTGGCACAACACGGATATCATCACCGTCGGTGAAAATTTCTGCCTTTGCTTGAAATCTTAATCGTCGTGAATGATCGTCATGTTCGTGAAAACCGACAATGTGTGCGCCGTTACTTTATAATCGGCGGTCTTTCACATTGGTGCACGTGTACATGTTGCATTTATTATTTGTTGTCTCATTTGTATGGTTGATTTTAAGTTTGTAACTTCTCCAAAAAAAAATATTTAACCAACATGGACTTACGGTATTTAAATAAAGAGTTTTTAATACAGTTTATGGACGTTCTCTATAGGTCCTTGTCTGGTTAGGTACCATCCCCAATGATACCCTAAAAGTCTTCGACTATAATCCCGTTGAGTAAAATCAACATGCGCGATTGGTGTAATACTTTCAGATATTTTAAACATGTTTTGAAATTCAGTTCAATTGTGAAAAATTATATCCTAATTAACATAACTATTCGGATGCTGAAGCGTTGAAACTTGGTTCCAGAGGAGAAAATTCGGTGGAATTGTTTGTAAAAGATATCGAGGAATTTTGATTTTCTGCGGAACGCTGTAATTTGGAAAATAAAACTGATTTCTCAATAAGGAAATGTAAGTGTCACAGGGCCAGATTCGAGAATTATGCTAGATAACTATAATAAGATCAATCTCTAAATAGCAAGTAGCTCACATCAAAAAAGATGTCTCGCAGCCAGTAATTTTGGGGCAGAATTGACAGCAATAAAAAAATAAATACTCACCTTCTCTGTACAAAAGAATAATAGTTATGTATATACAGTAGTCTCTCCAACTAAAGAATATATTATAGAGACAGATACCTGTCATTTTAATTAAAATGGTAATTTATTGATATTTTCTGTCAACTTATTTGTTTTCGATAGCCAGTGCTTTGAAAATATATTCGGTTAATAAATTTTATACTGGAATCATTACACAAAAATAGCCAAAAATAATATTTATTAAATGCCTTTTTATAGGAACATACAACGTTGAAGGCATTGCGGCTATACAATGCAGACTTTCTAACGAAAACGGAGCTACCAGATTATTTCACAAGATCACTGGTCTAGAGGCCAAAAAGACTGGTCTTTGGTTAGATACGTGTGGATGCCATAATATAGATAAAATGTCCATACAAATATCGGAATAAATTATTCGAAGAAGATATAGAAAGGCGGTGTTTATAAGTTAGGAAAAATAAAATGCATAAAACACTTTATATGGCCACCGCAAGGAAGGACGTATTTCCTCCACAAAATGCCTGCTCTGAAGCAGGGCTGGAAGATCCCTCGAGAGACCCGGGAGTTCCCAAGGGGTCTACCAGTACCACTTCGTGAGACAGGCTTACGTTCATAGGGCCTAACCTAACTAAAGCAAACACACCTTGTCGATATTCCACAAAATGCTGAAAGTGCTATTCAAGAATTGAGTGATACAGCTATGTATACTACCGAAGAAAAAATGCGCATCTAGTTATATATATTACATTTAGAGAAGTGTGGAATAGGTCATTGGGCGTTTTATGTTCACCTTTGAAGAACGTCTTATGCCTTTTTCCACAACTAGATGAACCATCGTCCATTAATTTGAACAAACAAGATGCATTTCGAAGTGCAGAAATTGTGGTAACAAGGAATGCGCAGAAAAGGTAATTCCTGACAACGAAATTGATATTAGTACCGCGGTCGAAATATGCGAGTGAGCCTTGCTGTAGTTGTTACAGCTGCCGCTAGATAGCGGGAGCAGTTAGTACTCGTAGTTGTACGTTCACTACTCAATTCTACTTTCTGCCGTATCCGACCACATGCCGGTACTCTTCTCAGTCCATACTAACCTACAAGTGCTGATTCCACAAAAACTAATGAATTATGAACAGGCTGACTGGCAAAAATTCAAAAATAAAATCAATACAGGCATCAAAATCAACAACACCACCGAGATCGATGAGGAAGTAAAAAAAATCGCAGACCTGATATGCAGTACAAAGAAAGACACAATACCTCAAAAGAACCCCAATCAGAGAACAGCAGACTTACCCATCAAAGTACAAAATACAATAAGACTAATTGCCGTACCTATAGTCGGTACTTGAATCGATCTCCGGCTTGAGCATGGCCTTAGATGAAAAATGCGTACTACAGACTAGACTTGATCAAGAAAGCAATAAACTGCGCATGCGTAATTTGAGGCGTACTAAAGAATGGCAAGCACCTTGCTTAGGTATTGCCACAGAGCAATATTTGGGACAAAAACCAAAGCTTAACAATTTATTTTCTTTGTTGATTTGTGTGGCTGTGCTCTGTGCTGCGACGCCGACGCGTCGTCCGTCGTCGCGTCATTCTTACGCCAGCTGCCAAGACGATTAGTTGTTTCTCAAATTTAGTTTTTGTCTTTAATTGTTTTTTATTTCTATTCTATGAGTGTTATAATGAGTTCAGGTAAGTTCAAGATTTTAGAAAAGAATATTGTATTGTAGCATTATAATTTTGTATTTTGTAGCAAAGTGTGAAAGGACGCCATACACCAGCCATGAAAAGTTGTTGGCGAATCTAGTGGACAAGTACCAGCTTGTGCTGGAAAACAAAAAAACTGATGCCAGCAACCTCCAGCAGAAGCAGCGCGCGTGGGACAAAATCGCTGCGGAGTACAACGCCCAGGCCACAATGATAACCGTGAGACGCACTGCTAAAAAAGCTGTGGAATAATTTAAAACAAAGCTTGTTTGAAAATTGATTAAAGTTTATATTTATTACAATATGGTTCTCTTTGTATACTTTATTATGTTATAACCTTTTCAAAAACTTTTTAATTTTTGTAAAAAATATTATAGCCATAATAAATGCAAATATATTTATATTTTTAGGAAAAGGAAGGCTAATACGGAGGTGAAATACAAGTACCTCGTTACTGGTGGAGGTCCTGAGCCTTCCGGGTCACAGGACCCTGTGATGGAAGCAGTTAGCGTGGCGGCACCACATGCAGATCTTCTTCTTCTTCTGTGGAACGGATCAGTGACTCTGGAAACATCCAATTCTCGATCCAATCCATATATGGCCACTTGCCCTTACAGCATTCAGCCAGCACTACTGACAGACCAAACCACATGCAGATGTGATGATGTCGTGTAAATGGGACATGACAGGCGTCTACGAGAGACAACAGGCAGAGGAAACGTCAGATGTTACAATGCAAAGTACGTTTGTTACATTTTCTTTGAAACCGTTAATCTTTTATAGAAATGTTCTTTTTTTTAACTTATTAATTGTAATACATTTGTCTAATTATTATATTTATTTTTAGGCTATGAAATCATTGAAGTGGTACTGGAAAAAGGGAAGGAACCAGAACCAGAGGATATTTATCCGTCCACTTCTGGTAATTCTGAAGTAAGTTATGCTTAGCTTGATTTTAATTTAATTTGTTTTTTAGGGTTGAGCATTAAAAAAATGGTCCATGCTACTCTAAACACCACCACCTTCACAGCTGACCGTCCATTATGTGCTGCCAAACAAACGGCTAGTGGAACTGGTAAATAAATAATATACAATATTCTCATATGGTATTGATTTTAATAATTGTGTTACAGGGCGACAAGGTCGGGCTGCCCAAAAAGAGACAGGCATAAGGATGAGGAAGGTGGAGGAGAGCATCCAGGAACAGCTCCAACTACATAGTATTCGACAAAAAATTGAGGAGAAAAACCTGCAGGCAGCAGTTTTAAGGAAAAAAGTA